ATATGTACTAGTTTCCGTTTGATGAATCATTTTCAGGATTCATTTTAGCTTTAGGCTAAAATAAGCATACTGTGTATATATTCATACATAGAAAGAAGCTCATTTTAATTTGTAAAACTTTAATATATAGGCTTTTGAGAACATCAGATTAATATCTTTATCATTGTGTTTTGGGATTAGAAGGTAAATTATCTGATCAATCAGCGAATAACATATATCACCTGTAAGTCTTAGTTGTTAAAATTTTCAGGCCATTTTGAAACTGTTTAGACTAAATATTTGAACATTTACTTCTGTATTCTGACACATTATTTTTGATATGCTTTTGATCTCACCTTAACCCAGATCAATTCATTTCTGAAAACCAACAGCTTTTATAACACACTAGAAGCAAAGCTCTGAGCAATATAAAGACTTCCTGTTAGCGTACCATAGAATATGAAGAAGCAGTGTCATTTCCTTTTGCTAGGATGTGTTCTGTACAAATTAAACACATTACTTTAGCTTTTAGTTATTGAGTTGAACAAAAACAAATCAGACTTTAATCTTTTTCACTTGGGATGGAGGTATTTTTTAACTTTAACAAAGTATAGTATGTTTTTAACTGACATTTTAAACATTAACCATAAAAAGACAGTACAACCATGTTAAACACTTGAAGACCTTACCCATCGCTTTTTAGCTTAACATTTTATCATGCATCGCTGGTGGGCATTTTTACTGAAGTCTTTGCTATCACTAAAACAAAACAGTTTCATTTATGTGTTTATTTTAGAGCTAGGGTCGTGCTCTGTTGCCCAAGCAGGAGTACAGTGGCACAATCATAGCTCACTGTAAACTTGAACCACTGGGCTTAAGTCATCCTCCTGCCTTAGCCTCCTGTGTAGGTAGGACTACAGATTTGCACCACTATGCCTAATTTTTACATTTTTTGGTAGAGATGGGTAGAGACTGGTCTCAAACTGTTAGATTCAAGTGATCCTCCTGCTGCTGCCGCCCTAAGTGCTGAGATTACAGGCATGAGCCACTGTGCCTGGCCGTTATTTTTATTCTAAACTAAAAGCAATCTATAATGATAAGTTCCAACAGTGCAGATTTGAAATGTTAAAAAGCCTCTTTTCTCCTTATTATTGTGATATTGTTTAAAATCTGCATATGTAAAGTTCAACACAATGTTATTAGCTTGGTGCAAACGTAATTGTGGTTTTTGCCATATGTGTATGTAGGTAATGGCAAAATTACAGCTTTTGCCACATACGTGTATGTATTTTTTTTTTTTTTTTTAGTAGTGGCAAAATCTGCAATTACATTAGCACCAACCTAATACATGTTTTTGTTCTAGTTTTTTGCTCATTGGAGCTTGGGTATCTTTCCATATTTAGAACATCTAGATTTTTTTTTACTATAGCTGAGTGGTATTTTATTGTTGGTTATAGATATACCAACATTTATTTAGGTTATTCTCTTACTGATAGATGCTTAAATTTTAACTTGAAGGAATTTTGCAGTGAATTTTCTTTTGCCTATATCCAGGTGTTGTGAGTGGTAATAGATATTTATAAATTCCTATCAGAAAATTACTAGGTCACGGCCAGGCGTGGTGGCTCATGCCTGTAATCCCAGCACTTTGGGAGGCTTAGGCAGGTGGATCATTTGAGGTCAGGAGTTTGAGACCAGCCTGGCCAACATAGTGAAACCCCGTCTCTAATAACAGTACAAAAGTTAGCTGGGCATGGTGGTACGCGCCTGTAATCCCAGCTACATGGGAGACTGAGGCAGGAGAATTGCTTGAACCTGAGATGTTCAGTTCTTGCTTGCAGTGAGTGAAGACCGTGCCATTGCACTCCAGCCTGGGTGACAGAGTGAGATTCCATCTCAAAATAATAATAATAATAATAATAAAATAAAAATAAAATTGCTGGGTCACAAGGCATGCCCTGTTAATCTGATAGGTAAAAACAATGAGAGTTTGTATATTTCTTGAATTTTGATTGAAGTTGGGCGCCAGTCTTATGATTGACCATTTTTCCCTTTTGGCTGTTGATACAATTTGTCCATTTTTCTGTAAGTTACTATTTTGTCTTATTGATTGGTATGAACTCTTTATAAATCTAGCACTTTTAAATGCTATATAATATTCGGTGTTATTATAATACCATAATAATCATACATTCCTAATATAATGCTGCAGTTAATTTTGTTCATGTATTTTTTTTTCTTTATTATTTATTTATTTATTTATTTACTTTTGAGACAGAGTCTCACTCTGTCACCTAGGCTGGAGTGCAAAGGCATGATCTTGGCTCATTGTGACCTCCACCTCCTGGGTTCAAGTGATTCTCCTGCCTCACACTCCTAAGTAGCTGGGACTATAGGGATGGGTCACCACACCTGGCTAATTTTGTTTGTATTTTTTGTAGAGACAGAGTTTTGCCATGTTGGCCGGGCTCCTCTCCTGACCTCAGGTGATCTGCTTGCCTTGGCCTCCCAAAGTGCTGGGATTACTGGCGTAAGCCACCATGCCTGACCATTCATGTATTTTGTTGACTCTGGTTGAATTGTTTTCTTAGGATAAACTTGGTATAAAATTGAGTTTAAAGGCTGTGAATTTCCTTATTAATATATTCACACAATCTGAAATAATACATTTAATATTTAATAAATATTTAATGCATTTCGGATTATATTTAAAACAAACAAGGATTTAAATTACCTATAACCCTACCACTAAGGACAACCACCATTGTGAGCCTTTTTGCTCTAGATAGCTTTCCAGTGTTTTATTTTTCTATTGTAAAGCCTGTCCCCCCCTACCCCTTAACATATATAGGGAAAATCTTTCCACATTAGTAAATAAAGATCTAGGCTGGGCACAGTGGCTCACACCTGTAATCCCAGCACTTTGGAAGGCCGAAGTGGGCAGATCATCTGAGGTCAGGAGTTTGAGACCAGCCTAACCAACATGGTGAAACCCTGTCTCTACTAAAAATACAAAATTAGCTGGGCGTAGTAGTGGCACATGCCTGTAATGCCAGCTAGTCGGGAGGCTGAGGCAGGAGAATTGCTTGAACCCGGGAGGCGGAGGCTGCAGTGAGCCGAGGTCACGTCATTGTACTCCAACCTGGGCGACAGAGTGAAACTCTATCTCCAAAATACATACATACATACATACATACAAAATCTATACTACAGGGTACATTTTTCCTTTTTTTCTTTTTTCATTGTATTAAAATATTAAAATGTACATAACATTAAAGTTTTGCCTTTGTAACCATTTTTAAGGATACAGTTCACTGGCATTGGGTACATTTACATTGCTGTACAACCGTCACCATTGTCTGCCTCCAGACCCTTTCATTATCCCAGACTGAAACCTATTAACACATTTTTATACCTTTAGTTCTTCTCTTGTTGTGGACATTCATTTTCAGTTTTCTCCCTTTGTAGGTAACAATTGACATATATATGTGTGTATATAAAAATATGTATGTATATATTTTTTTACTTGTCTGATTACTTTCTCATGATGGCAGTTCTTCCATGATAGGACAATTCTCTTTTTTTTTTTTTTTTTTTTGAGACAGAGTCTCGCTCTGTCGCCCAGGCTGGAGTGCAGTGGTGCGATCCTGGCTCACTGCAAGTTCCACCGCCTCCCGGGTTCAAGCCATTCTCCTGCCTCAGCCTCCCTAGAAGCTGGGACTACAGGCGCCCGCCACCACACCCGGCTAATTTTTTTGTATTTTTAGTAGAGACGGGGTTTCACCGTGTTCGCCAGGATGGTCTTGATCTCCTGACCTCGTGATCCGCCCGCCTCGGCCTCCCAAAGTGCTGGGATTACAGGCTTGAGCCACCGCGCCCGGCCAGGACAATTCTCTAGAGAACAGTTTATATGAGTATACATATTAAGGACAATTTTTTTTTTTTTTTTGAGACGAAGTCTTGCTCTGTTGCCCAGGTTGGAGTGCAGTGGCGTGATCTCGGCTCACTGCAACCTCTGCCTCTCGTGTTCATGCGATTCTCCTGTCTCAGCCTCCTGAGTAGCTGGGACTACAGGTGCCTGCCACCCCACCTGGCTAATTTTTGTATTTGTAGTAGAGACAGGGTTTCACCATGTTGGTCAGACTGGTCTTGAACTCCTGATCTCAGGAGATCCCCCCGCCTCAGCCTCCCAAAGTGCTAGGATTACAGGTTGAGCCACTGTGCCCGGCCAAGGATGACTTTTAAAATTGGATTTGGATGTCAGTTTTTCTCCCCCTGACACCACTGTAGAATTTACCCCCAGTTTAATAAGAAAAGTTTAATGTAGGCCAGGCTCCGGTGGCTCACACCTGTAATCTCAGCACTTTGGTAGGCCAAGGTGGGGGGATCATTGGAGCCGTAGAGTTCGAGACTGATATGGGCAATACATGTACCTAGACCTCGTCTCTAACAGAAACCTTAAAAAACTAGCTGAGTGTGGTGGTGTTTACCTGTGGTCCCAGATACTTGGGAGGCTGAGGTGGAAGATCGCTTGAGCTCAGGAGGCGGAGGTTTCCATGAGCTGTGATCATGCCACTGCACTTACGCCTGGGCAACAGAGTGAGACCCTCTCTCAAAAAAAAAAAAAAAAATTAAAAAAGTTAATGTGACTGGAAGGTTAAATGTGTTTTTTAAAGTTATAGATATATAGCTGTTATATAAAAAATGAGATACTTCTATGGTAATACAGAAGTCAAAGTGTTTTTTGCCTAAATGAGTGTTTTTTTTTAACAGGCTCAGTGACATTGCTCAGTGGGAAGCTTTGTGGGGAGAGGTATATATGTGATATTTATTTGGGAAAGGGTGTTCATACATATTTTGCTGTTCTCCTGGACAAAAGGTTGAGAAACCACTACTTTGTGTTCTATTTTGTTTGACTGGTTAGAATCAGATTTACCTAACCTGGGTTTTAATTGTAAAACAAAATTTTAAATCTCAAATACTTACAAGTTACTCTAATAAGAGCCTTTGCTTTCTCCTAGGATTGGCAGCCACCATTTGCATGTGATGTTGATAAACTTCATTTTACGCCGCGTATCCAGAGACTGAATGAATTGGAGGTAATGTCTTCACTAGTGTTCTGTTTGCCTGTATTCCAGGGGGACCCTCCTTGAAATTATTAGGATATATTAAAATTGTTATAGAATCACCATTGTAAATCTGTTTTTAGATTTGTATTTGAGCAAATAAGAATATTTCTGTAGAGAACAGGTCTTTAAAGTATCGAATTGGCTAGGCATGGTGACTCACACTTGTAATCTCAGCACTTAGGGAGGCTGGGGCAGGAGGGTTGGCCTGGGCAACATACTGAGACCCTGTCTCTAGTAAAACATAATTTTAAAAATTAGCCAGGTGTGATGATGATGGTGTGTGCCTATAGTTCCAGCTATTCAGGAGGCTGAGGTGGGTGGATTGCTTCAGCCTGGGAGGTCAAGACTATAGTGAGCCATGGTTGTGCCACTGCACTCTGCACTCCAGCCTGGGCAACAGAGCAAGACCCTGTATCATATATATTTACATATGTGAAGATACACACACACAAAATTGTATTTTTTTTGTAGGGATAGAGTCTCCCTATGTTGCCCAGGCTGGTCTCAAACTCCTGGGCTTAAGTGATCCTCCTGCCTCTGCCTCCCAAAGCTGGGCATATAAAAGCTTCTTTACTTGTCATATAATTTTAAACAATAATATGGAATTGTGCTTACAGTACTACTTAAGTTCTTTTCAGAGTGCCTACTTACATCACAGGAAGGTTTACTGAGTGTTTAATTCCTTGTCTGTCACGTGGTAGGGGCTGAATTAAATTTTTTTTTAAAGTCACTTAAGATTTTTACTTTTTTTATTATGGAGTCCTGCTCTGTCGCCCAGGCTGGAGTGCAACAGCATGATCCTGGTTCACTGCAACCTCTGCCTCCTGGGTTCAAGTGATTCACCTGCCTCAGCCTCCCAAGTAGCTGGAATTACAAGTGTGTGCCACCAAGCCCGGCTAATTTTGGTATTTTTAGTAGAGATGGGGTTTCACCTTTTTGGCCAGGCTGGTCTTGAAATCCTGACCTCAGGTGATCCACCTGCGTGGCCTCCCAAAGTGTTGGGATTACAGGCTGTCTCTTATACACATCTAGATGTGTATAAGAGACAGAGTCTCGCTGTGTCACCAAGGCTGGAGTGCTGTGGCACAATCTCAGTTCACTGCAACCTTTGCCTCTTAGGTTCAAGTGATTCACCTGCTGCGGCCTCCTGAGCAGTTGGGATTACAGACGTGTACCACCATGTTCAGCTAATTTTTGTGTTTTTAGTAGACATGGGGTTTCACCATGTTGGCCAGGCTGGTCTCAAACTGTTGGCTTCAAGTGATCTGCCCATTTTGGCCTCCCAAAGTGCTGGGATTACAGGTGTGAGCCACCACACCCGACCATGTATAATTATTATTTTTTTATTTTTCTTTTTTATTGAGATGGAGTTTCGCACTGTCATCTGGGCTGGAGTGCAGTGGCATGATCTTGGCTCATGAACCTCTGCCTCCCAGGTTCAAGCAATTCTCCTGCCTCAGCCTCCCGAGTAGCTGGGATTACAGGCACCTGCCACTACGCCCAGCTAATTTTTTGTATTTTTAGTAGAGACGGGATTTCACCATGTCAGCCAGGCTGGTCTTGAACTCCTGACCTCATGATTCACCCATCTCGGCCTCCCAAAGTGCTGGGATTACAGGCATGAGCCACCGCACCCAGCCGTATAATTATTATTATTTTGAGATGGAGTATTGCTGTCTCGTCCGGGCTGGAGTACTGTGGTGTGATCTCAGCTCACTGCAACCTCTGCCTCCCGAGTTCAAGCTGTTCTTCTGCCTCAGCCTCCTGAGTAGCTGGGATTATAGGCAAGCGCCACCACACTCGGCTGATTTTTGTATTTTTAACAGAGATGGGTGTTTCACCATGTTGGCCAGGCTGGTCTTGAACTCCTGACTTTGTGATTCATTTGCCTCGGCCTCCCAAAGTGTTGGGATTACAGGCGTGAGCGACCTTGCCCAGCTGGCCATGTATAATTATTTAACCAGCTATATTTTCTGTGTTTTTGGCTGTTTCTCATTGAATTTAGAAAGTGGTATTATATGGTTCTGCTGAAAGAGCATTAAATTTAAAAACAATTTTTTAAAGTGGTATTGTACTTAAATATTCTGTGAAAGAAAATATCACATGGGCAGGTAATAGGAGCTTTAAAATAAGCTAAATGAGATGAAAACTCAATCAATTCTTTGTCTTTTAGGCTCAAACTCGAGTAAAATTGAATTTCTTGGACCAGATCGCGAAGTACTGGGAGTTACAGGGAAGTACTCTGAAAATTCCACATGTGGAGAGGAAGATCTTGGACTTATTTCAGCTTAATAAGGTAATGGGCTAATGACCATCTTACCATCTTACTCATTTAATAATCTTACTGACAGAATGAATTTGATCTTCTTTGCCTTAAAAAGGAACTTACTGCTCAGCCAGATGGCTTGCGCCTGTAATCTTAGCACTTTGGGAGGTCAAGGGAGGAGGATTGCTTGAGACCAGCCTGGGTAACAAAACCTTGTCTTTACAAAAAATTAAAAAATTAGACAGGCATGGTGGCATGTGCCAGCTATTTGGGCGGCTAAGGAGGGAGGATCACTTGAGCCCAGGAGGTGGAGGCTGTGGTGAGCTGTGATTGCACCACTGCACTCCAGCCTGGGTAACTGAGCAAGATGCTGTCCCAAAAAAGAAAGAAAGAACAAAGAAACTTATTTTTTGAGATGTGCAAAATGAGGTTCTCAAGTCAGTTGAGTGATGAGGATCATCAGGCTCTGCTTCCCAGGTCTTGAAGCCTTGTGGAATATTTTGCTGCCACCTGTTTTTCTCATTTTCACACTTTACAAAAATTCTGCAAACTATTTCTTTTTATTACAGATAAGGAAACTGAGGCTCAGGGTGATAAAAAGCTAAAAAGCGCTGAGCCATGGCCGGGCATGGTGGTTCATGCCTGTTATCCCAGCACTTTGGGAGGTCGAGGCGGGTGGATCAACTGAGGTCAGGAGTTCCATACCAGCCTGACCAACATGTCGAAACCCCGTCTCTACTAAAAATACAAGATTAGCTGGGTATGGTGGCACATGCCTGTAATCCCAGCTACTTGGGAGGCTGAGGCAGGAGAATTGCCTGAATCCAGGAGGCGGATGTTGCAGTGAACCGAGATTGCGCCATTGCACTGCAGCCCGGGCAACAAGCGAGAAACTCTGTCTCAGGGAAAAAAAAAAAGAAAAAAAGCTGAGCCATAATTCAATACCAGGCCCAATTGATTCTGAACTTTACGTTCTTTCCATCAAACATGCTGGCATGCATCCTAGTCTTTAGTTTTTGGAGATTTATTTAAGAGTCCAGAGTAAGACCAAGTATTATAGTCCCTTCTTTGGTAGAGATTTAGTTTTAGGTAAACTGATTCTTTCCACATGATTGCTTTGGGGATGTGAAAAGTAGCTTAGAGGGGACAAAATGTTTATGGACCATGTTGTCAAGAGAGATGTTTTAAATTTCTAACTTAAAATTAGTAGTGTGTATATATATGTGTGTGTGTGTGTGTGTGTATATGTATATATATATTTGATTGGCAAAACATGTTTTTAAAAGATAACCATAGCCAAGAACATTTTCCCCTTGGAGTCATACTTAGGTGCGATTAGAAGTGACTCCATATAGTTGTTTCTAATTTTGCTATTTTAACAGTTAGTTGCAGAAGAAGGTGGATTTGCAGTTGTTTGCAAGGATAGAAAATGGACCAAAATTGCCACCAAGATGGGGTTTGCTCCTGGCAAAGCAGTGGGCTCACATATCAGAGGGCATTATGAACGAATCCTTAACCCCTACAACTTATTCCTGTCCGGAGACAGCTTAAGGGTAAGTTTGGGGGCTAGCCTTAACCTGTTTTATCTTACTACTTATCAGTACATTGTCTTTTCAGGAAAATGAAAAGGCCTTGATTGTGTTTGGAAGACCTTGTTTTAGAAGACCTTGTTTTGTCGGGGTGCGGTGGCTCACTCCTGTAATCCCAACACTTTGGGAGGCCAAGGCAGGTGAATCACCTGAGGACAGGAGTTTGAGACCAGCCTGGCCAACATGGCAAAACCTCGTCTCTACTAAAAATACAAAAATCAGCTGGGCATGGTGGTGGGTGCCTGTAATCCCAGCTACTCGGGAGGCTGAGGCAGGAGAATTGCTTCAACCCAGAAGGTGGAGGTTGCAGTGAGCCGAGATCGTGCCACTTCACTCAAGCCTGGGCAAAGAGCGAGACTCCGAGACTCCGTCTGAAACAAAAAAATACCTTGTTTTGTGTTTTTTCCTCTAGTGTTTTTGTTCTGCTTTGAGAGCAACTATACTTAGAAGTTTGTTTCTGGAATGAATAAGATTGTGGAGGAAATTTTTTTACTGTCAAAAGCTGAGGAGTTGATTATTATCTACTTGTTACAACTTTGCCTTCTCTTTAAATTTAAAGTAGCTAAAGTATTCCTGGCTGTCATATGAAGGTATAAGCTGTGAAATAACTTACCTACCTATTCTCTTTTGCCAGCTGAGATTTTTAAGGAGATTGTCAGAATGTTGATATGGTAAAGATAGGGGATTTTATAATGCTGCATAGCTAATGGGTTCCTCTTCTAGTAATTCCTATGTAGCCATGTTCATTTCTGACAAAATGGTATTTGTGAAATTATTCACTTAAAAACTTGTAAGTAAAACAATACTATAAAAGCTTCCCATTTATTTCCATGCCTTGGTAGAAAGAAGAGGGGTGTCATTATCCATTCATACCCTTTGAGTTATTTTAGGACTACAGCAGTGAGCCCTATAATTTTAAGAATTGTTTTCTGTGCTGTAGAGAGGTAGGAAGAGAATAACATAGTTTTTGAGGGGTAAGTCACTAACCAAAGTCCTGTCCTAATACTATACACACACAAACACACCATCTGTAATGCTTAAATCCAGTAGATTTGTTTTTCTTCCCTCTTTCCCTTATTGATTCCAGGTGAACACTTTTTTTTTTTTTTTTTTTTTTTGAGATGGAGTCTCGCTCTGTCCCCCAGGCTGGAGTGCAGTGGGGCGATCTCCCGGTCACTGCAAGCTCCGCCTCCCGGATTCATGCCATTCTCCTGCCTCAGCCTCCCAAGTAGCTGGGACTACAGGCGCCCGCCACCGCACCCGGCTAATTTTTTGTATTTTTAGTAGAGAGGGGATTTCACCGTGGTCTGGATCTCCTGACCTCGTGATCCGCCCGCCTCAGCCTCCCAAAGTGCTGGGATTACAGGCGTGAGCCACCAGGTCCGGCTAACACTTTTTAGCATAGAAGAAAGTGGCCAATCTGACATTCAAAACTTTTTGTTTGTTTGTTTAGTACATTATGTGAATGTTTAGTGAGCCCATGGATGAAATTGTTTAGAATGTTGAGTGTGAGCTGGAAGCGATGGCTCAGGCCTGTAATCCCAGCACTTTGGGAGGCCAAGGTGGGCGGATCACTAGATGGAGAGATGGAGACCATCTTGGCCAACATGGTGAAACCCTGTCTCTACTAAAAATACGAAAATTAGCTGGGCATGGTGGCGCGTGCCTGTAGTCCCAGCTACGTGGGAGGCTGGAGCAGGAGAATCGCTTGAACCCAGGAGTTGGAGGTTGCAGTGAACTGGGATTGTGCCACTGCACTCCAGCCTGGGTGACAGAGCAAGACTCTGTCTCAAAAAAATAAAAAAAATTAAAAAAATTAAAAATAGGCTGGGTGCAGTGGCTCACACCTGTAATCCCAACACTTTGGGAGGCCTCAGGTGGATCCCCTGAGGTCAGGAGTTTGAGATCAGGCTGGCCAACATGGCAAAACCCCGTCTCTACTAAAAATACAAAAAAAAAAAAAATAGCTGGATGTGGTGGCAGGCGCTTGTAATCTGAGCTACTTGGGAGGCTAAGGCAGGAGAATTGCTTGAACCCAGGAGGCAGAGGTTGCAGTGAGCCAAGATCGCGCCATTGCACTCCAGCCTGGGTGACAGAACAAGACTTAGAACGAGATTGTCTCAAAAAATAAAAAAACAAAAATAAAAAATAGAATGTTGAATGTGGAACGTTTTTGCCTCATAGTCAGATCTAGATACAGTTACCCGTAATAGGTTAATTTTGTCTTCTTGAACTCTTCCTAAGTATGGAAGTTATAGTGAATAAAGGAAGAGAGAGTCCTTTTAATGATGCTTTGTGGATTGTAACATTTTAGAAACATGTCACTTATATACTTAAAAAGGCAATGTAGTTTTATGGTTAAAAGTCACTTAAATATTTATACAATCAAGGAGTTGAAAGGAATAAGTATTTAAAAGGTACCCTTTTGTAAACATTGCATCTACAGTAAAGGTAGATATTTGTGAGTGACTTACTGTGTGCCAAGTATGTTTTAGGAAGTGATACACATTCATTGTAGGAAGTTTTAAAAACACAGGAGGAGAGTATGGCAAAATAAAATCACTCCTGATCCTTCCACCTGTTATTTCTCTCAGGGCTATTTTTATGCATACATTCACAAATTGAAAGTGTACTCTTCTTCAATGATGTATACATCATTGCATCTTGGGTTTTTTTACTAATCATATGGGCATTTGCCATATCATTGAATAGTTTTGAAAATGCGATTTCTAATGACTGTGGCAATCCATTTTTTATAGCCAGACCTTATTTTTATTTCTTCTATTGTAGAATGTTTAGGTCGATTCTAGTTTTTTATTATAATACTATGATGAACATTCCTTGTATGTAAATTTTCACATCTATTTCTGATTTTTGAAATAGTTATTAGGGAGAGAAGAATTGAAGAACATATACTTAGGAAAAACAGAGGTGTACAGTGAAGGAATTATTGCAAAAGGGTGAAGGGAGAGTATAAGTTAAATTTTAGGAAGCTTGAGAAAAGTTGATACACTGTTCCAGTGGAACAGAGGCCTCAATCTTGCATCATCATGTTTTCTAAATGTCTTAAGGGATTGCTCTGCCTTTGTGGGATGATGTGATTATGGCATGATGATGATATTAAATCACCTGTAAGTCCTAGTTTCTTAAGTAAAGGTTAAAATTAGCGTCTGTATGTTAATAACACTAGATATAAAACCATATCGTGTGTATTTTTAATTGTGGTTTGGAGCAAAATAATAAAGCTCTTCTTACTTATTCTAAAAAACTACAGGGCATGATTGTCTTAGATCTGCAAAGTCCTTACAGAACCAAGCTGACCATAGATGATGGAACCATTGAGACTAACTAGTAGGAGATAGGAACCACATATGTAGTATCCGAATTTGTGATCATCCACTTAGTACAATTTATGTAATTCAGCTCAATTTGTATTTTCCTAATCACTCATACTTTTGTGTCTCCAATAGAAAGTACGTTGGATACATAAAGGGGATTAATTTATATGATGAACAGGTTTTATTCCCCTCTGCATGCTTTCATTAAACATACTCTAAATGCTCAACTGAGGACTTGTTACAAAACAGAAGGCAATGTTCTATACTACTTTTTGTAAAAAACAAAATATTTTTTTCTCTCAATTGTCATTGGTGTTTAGTTTGTCTCATAATTTTTTCTTTTTTCTTTTTTTTTTTTTTTGAGACGGAGTCTTGTTCTGTCACCCAGGCTGGAGTGCAGTGGCACGATCTCGGCTCACTGCAATGTCTGCCTTCCAGGTCCAAGCGATTCTCCTGCCTCAGCCTCCTGAGTAGCTGGGATTACAGGCATGTGTCACCACATGGGCTAATTTTTGTATTTTTAGTAAGGACGGGGTTTCACTATGTTGGCCAAGCTGGTCTTGAACTCCTGACCTCAAGTGATCTACCTGCCTCGGCCTCCCAAAGTGCTGGGATTACAGGCGTGAGCCACTATACCTAGCCGTAAGTCTTAAATAAGGTACCTTATTTAAGGCACCACCGCACCTGACCAACTTTTTTCAGAATGTAAATGCTTAACTATTAGGAATATAATAGTTAACTTTTCTGGATCAAATCAATGTGTAGTTTTAAGTAGAATGAGCAGAATATTTAATATTTGTAGGGTGCTATTACCAGTGGTAGATTTACTACTTGTTAACAAGTAATGAGTCAGTATTTTTAAATAGTATATCATATTTCTTAACTATCAGAAATAAATTTTATCATTTTGTCGCTTTGTACTTTCTTTTGTTCTTTTGCCCGTCTCTGTATTTCTGCAAATGTGAGGAGGAAAGGGGCCAATCTCAGTGAGATTCTATGGTAGTAACTGTGCCCGTAGTGTCAGTGCTTCAGGAAGGTTGTTATTTCCATGTATCTCATTCCAAATATAGCTGCTATAACACACCTCAGAGGGTTACTTTTGAAACTTTTACAAAGGTTTTTCGTGAGGTTTGTGGGTCCTCTTATGAAAGAGTAGTACTTACCTGAAATTCGTATTAGCTTCAGTGGCAACATTTTGTTGTGTTAATAGCTTAGAATAAAACTAAAAAGGAAAACCAAAGCAAGAAGAGAGATGCATTTTTGATCAGAACCAAAGTTATTGCTGTGGGCTACCAGTTGATCTTTGCCTTGCGAGTTAGACTTTGTAGGGATATACTGTGGTAAATAGAAACCCTAGTGAGGAAGACTGCTTTAGTTAAATGACCTGTTTTCTCAATTCAGATGATATCTTTGGATGATAACTTTGCTAGTTATATCTGAAACTATACAGTTGTAAAATCTAGAAAACATATTGGATTCTCTATTTTTTAAATTCCAAATACTTTTAAAAAATGAGATTTTTAATATGGAAAATTGTTTTGGGAGCTTATAAGGGGCCTTTCTAACAATATGGACCTTCCATTAACTGACAGTTGCAAGCACAAATAATTCCAAGTGGTTTATTGGGAATGCCTTGAGACAGCTATGGTCTGTTGTAACCTGATGATGTCAGCAATGAAAAATCAAAGCAACACCCCCTGTTAAAAATTTTTAAAATGTTTTAAACCTTTATAGATGTATGTATGTGGTTGGTAACTGCAGACTTGTCTTTATTTTTATTTAGATTTTTAAAAATTATAGGCCTGTTGTCTAGATAAATAGTTGTAAAATGTACCTTACAAAAATCCACTGAAACTCTGTAAGATTAAAAAGGGAAGGAATTTATCAGTATAGTTGTTATTTCTAGTGTTTGCAGAAGCCAAACCTGACCACAGACACTAAGGACAAGGAGTACAAACCCCATGATATTCCCCAGAGGCAGTCTGTGCAGCCTTCGGAAACGTGCCCCCCAGCCCGACGAGCAAAACGCATGAGAGCAGAGGTAAGAGACTCATGAGGTTAATTTAGAAGGAATTCTCAAGCCCTATTACCAATGGCTGTCTGACACTGGATTTCTCTCATGTGTATGCTCTTTGTAGTTTTGAACCTTGTTAATCTCACAAATGGATGCTGTTTGTATTCCAACTTTTACACTTGGGTGAATTGTACCATCAAAGGGATAAGGAATCGAAGAAGTCTAAGTTTATGCTGCCTGTACAGACTGCTGCTTGTTACCAATCAAGGCCTTAGGAAGAATTGGTGTTCTGTGTTCCTACTTGGATTGCCCATTACCCTCACAAAGTTGGGCAATGTTTAATGGGGATTAAGGCTAGAAAACATGTAGATTAGGAGGTTTTTTAAACAGAGTGGTTAGAAGACAGTTAAAGCCATTTTTCTCAGACTTCTTTTTTTTTTAGAGACAGAATCTCACTCTGTTGCCCAGGCTGGAATGCAGTGGCCCGATCTTGGCTCACTTCGACCTCCGCCTCCCAGATTCCAGCAATTCTCCTGCCTCAGCCTCTCCAGTAGCTGGGACTACAGGCGTGTGCCACCACGCCCAGTTAATTTGTTTTGTATTTTTAATAGAGATGGGTTTCACTGTGTTAGCCAGGATGGTCTCAATCTCCTGATCTCATGATCCACCCATTGTGGCCTCCCAAAGTGCTGGGATTACAGGTGTGAGCCACCGCGCCCGGCCTCTTCTTCTTTTTAGAGATGGTCTCGCTCTGTCACCTAGACTGGAGTACAGTGGCATGATCATAGCTTACGGCAACTTTCAACTCCCAGGCTCAGGTGATAACTGCCACCTCAGCCTCCCGAGTAGCTGGAACTACGGATGCATGCCATGCATGCCTAACTAATTAAAATTTCTTTTGTGTGAGATGGAGTCTCACACAAAAGAGAGAAAAATTTCTTTTGTGTGAGATGGAGTCTAAAATTTCTTTTGTGTGAGATGGAGTCTACGCCATTCTCCTGCCTCAGCCTCCCGAGTATGCAACACCTGGCTAATTTTTGTATTTCTAGTTAGAGATGAGGTTTTGCCATGATGGCCAGACTGATCTCAAACTCCTGGCCTCAAGTGATCCACTCACCTCGGCCTCCCCAAATGCTGGGATTACAGGTGTGAGCCACCTCACCCAGCCACAATTTGTTCTTGATCCTTTGACTTTCCCTATTTTTTTTTTTTTTTTTTTT